TTTTTAAAATTTTATATATATGTTAGAATAAATTAAAAAATGACATTTATTTTAATGAAAATTTTTATATTTAATAAAAATATTTAAAAATTAAAATAATAAGCATAGTGAAAAGAAAAAAACCACGAAAGGGGGGGATACCAAGACCGGGAGGTGGGTCAGGGGGGTGGGGTGGGGGGGGGGGGGGGGGATTGGGGTATCATCCCTTATAATTTTGTTCTTAATGACATACAGTTTTTATATTACTATAACTGAGGCAAAGAAATGCATTTGCATTCCTCGGAACTAAACGGTAAGTGGCATAGACATAGAAGGCAGACAATATCTATTGGCTTGTAAGCAAACTCTCCACTATGAAAACACAGGGAGAGTTTGACCGAGCCGAAACGTCCTCATGACTAGGCTGATATGTTATCCCATAATTTTTCTCTATTCCAGTGCCATATATACAATTACAATAATACTTATTTCAGTACCATAAAAAACACGGATTTCAACTCAACTATGATAAATTATTGCAGAAATTGTATGGTAACACAACATATCATGATATTAATATAGAGTTTATAACTTCCAAGTTCATCTCGAAAGCGATCTTGGAGCTGCCACTTCTGTGGAGTTTCTTTGCTCATCTTGATAAGCTTTATACATATCGCGGAATTCATGGACAAAATTGTATTGCTGAAGGTAGGAAAGACAACATTAGAGACAGGGCTTCCCTCAATTCTTGGTTTGCAACCACGTGACAAGGCGGCCATGTTGGGGGTCAAAACAAAAGAATATTTCCTCGAAGAATTTACATGAAAATAGAGTTTAGTTCCCAGAGGAGAAAAATGCTTTTGTTCTTGACCACCAACATGGCCGCCGTGACGTCACGTGCAAACACGGGGCTAAAACTCCCTTGTAAAGCTAACCTCGTTCCCAGGGTCCTCTCTGTCCCTGTGGAGCGGGAGGGGTACTAGGAATGAGGTTGCTATAAGGGCAACAAACTGGCGTGACTTGTTTTTCGAAGAAAGCTTAAGCATGAGACACCTTTTGCCAAGACTGAGCTTTTTCACAAGCCCAGCAGCTTCTATAAAGCTCGATCTAACATTTGTGGAACTTTGTGGAGAGTAACACGAGCGAAATATCCAGTTTTGACTCTTAAAAGGACACTGGAATGTCAGCTTTCTGAGTAAAATAGTTTAGGGCTTTGAATTTTGCATTTAATATCCACACGCCACTGGTTGAGGAACCATGGAATTCTCCAGGGGTAAGTTATGAACATTGAGGTAGAGGGGAGGGGTAGAGCAAAAAAATATAGAATTCTTTGGGGGTGAAGCTTTAATTTTCATGAATTTCTCCAGGGGTAAACCCATATTCTTCAGGGGTAGTATGCACATTCTTCAGGGGTAGTACCCATATTCTTCAGGGGTAGGGGTAGTACCTATATTCTTCAGGGGTAGTACCTATATTCTCCAGGGGTAAACCCATATTCTTCAGGGGTAGTATGCACATTCTTCAGGGGTAGGGGTAGTACCTATATTCTCCAGGGGTAAACCCATATTCTTCAGGGGTAGTATGCACATTCTTAAGGGGTAGCACCCATATTCTTCAGGGGTAGGGGTAGTACCTATATTCTTCAGGGGTAGTACCTATATTCTCCAGGGGTAAACCCATGTTCTTCAGGGGTAGTACCCATATTCTTTAGGGGTAGTACCTATATTCTTCAGGGGTAGTACCCATATTCTTCAGGGGTAGTACCCATATTCTTCAGGGGAAGTACCTATATTCTTCAGAGGTAAGCCCATATTCTTTAGGGGTAGAAATAACTTGCCAAAGTCGAACACTCTTTTAAAGTTAATATGAAAAATTTTATTGAAATATATATTAACTAAAAACTCAGTCACTGTCATTAAGGTGGCCTGAACCTATCACATTTTTAGCAGGAACGATTTAACCAATTTCTATGATTGTTGGCATCCTTAATAAACCATGGTCAAACTTTAAGAAAATGTTATTTATTTTCTTGTAGGTTTAAAAATGTTTGAGATATCGGCATTTATTATATAAACACCAATGAAATACCAGCTGAGCTTTTGTGCGAAAACATATGATATCTTCACAGGTGAAATAGCATATTCCTAGACTTTCACTCAACTAAACAGGGACTGCGATTGGTTGATTCTTGGTCACGTGGCTTTGACTAAAATCAAATGACATTTGTATCCCAGTCGTGATACATTAAGCAATGTCCCCAGCTCGGGATACATTACAGCACGTGATCAAAGTACGGTGGAAAGTGGCATGACAGAAGGAGGGAAAAACACTGCCAGTTTTCTTTTTTTGTAAATGAACACAACAACACAAACATGAAAGCATCAAGCTAAANCCCATATTCTTCAGGGGTAGTATGCACATTCTTAAGGGGTAGCACCCATATTCTTCAGGGGTAGGGGTAGTACCTATATTCTTCAGGGGTAGTACCTATATTCTCCAGGGGTAAACCCATGTTCTTCAGGGGTAGTACCCATATTCTTTAGGGGTAGTACCTATATTCTTCAGGGGTAGTACCCATATTCTTCAGGGGTAGTACCCATATTCTTCAGGGGAAGTACCTATATTCTTCAGAGGTAAGCCCATATTCTTTAGGGGTAGAAATAACTTGCCAAAGTCGAACACTCTTTTAAAGTTAATATGAAAAATTTTATTGAAATATATATTAACTAAAAACTCAGTCACTGTCATTAAGGTGGCCTGAACCTATCACATTTTTAGCAGGAACGATTTAACCAATTTCTATGATTGTTGGCATCCTTAATAAACCATGGTCAAACTTTAAGAAAATGTTATTTATTTTCTTGTAGGTTTAAAAATGTTTGAGATATCGGCATTTATTATATAAACACCAATGAAATACCAGCTGAGCTTTTGTGCGAAAACATATGATATCTTCACAGGTGAAATAGCATATTCCTAGACTTTCACTCAACTAAACAGGGACTGCGATTGGTTGATTCTTGGTCACGTGGCTTTGACTAAAATCAAATGACATTTGTATCCCAGTCGTGATACATTAAGCAATGTCCCCAGCTCGGGATACATTACAGCACGTGATCAAAGTACGGTGGAAAGTGGCATGACAGAAGGAGGGAAAAACACTGCCAGTTTTCTTTTTTTGTAAATGAACACAACAACACAAACATGAAAGCATCAAGCTAAAAACGTTTAAAAAGCAACGATTTTTAAAGTTATTCCAGAGGAAAAACGGCAGTTAATGGAGAAAGAAAGATGCAGATAATATAAGGAAATTATACTTTAATTTGTAAATCATTAATTCATTCACGCGGGTTTTGAGAATTAAATTTGTGCCGTTATAACTACCGAGTCAACTGTTTTGATTCGCTCTGGTTATTCTTTTGTTGCTGTTGAAGTGAAAGTCTAGAAATATAACAAAACACTTAATGTCAGGTCCCTCGGGAAGTTTAAAACCTACAGTGAAGCACTACCTGCCCTCTAAAAAAGGTAAACGCGCACAGTGAGTAAACGAAGACCAAAGGAGGTTATTCTAGTTTCAGTAATAAGAAGAACTAAGATTGTTACCACTCCACTCCCCTGAACAGGACATCAGTAGATCACTGGGTTATCCTTGGCGATAAATTGCTTGATCACGGACTTAGATCAGTGAAACTTTCATTATAAAAAAATTGAATGGTTAAGTTTAATTTTTTGGCATGTTGGCTAATGATTATGGCGTTAATTAATACAGTAAGAGAAAACAAGTTTGCTTTAGCTATAATACCTTTACTGTTTGAAAGGCTCGCTGACCTCTTACTTGTCGCATCTTGGAGATGACATGATCGGGGGACATGAATTCATCCAGACTCAGCAACAAGACAGCTGCGGCTGAACAGGACAGAAACCAAAAAAAAACAGATTGTGAGGCCATTATATGAATGTGTGACGTGTGACACCTTAAAAGCAAAAGTTTATTTTACACAGTGTATTTTACAGGCAGAGGCACAAATAAATGAGGATGAGTGGTGTGTTTAAAAGTTTCAAATAAGTTTGAAAAATTTAAATTGGTTTAAAAATACTTGAACCACAACATATATATTCAGAGTGCAATTTACAATTATTTCTTTCTTGGCAAGTACATTTTCAAGACGGGTAAAATGAAAATCAAACTAAAAATTTTATCCCCCCTGTTTCTAATTCATCACGGCCACTGAAAAGAAGCACCGAAGACTCATTAGTTAGGGAAAATCTTCAAACCTAAGGAAAATATTTCACAAATTCTAGTCAGAAGAAGACCTTCTACAATTGTGTCTATTGTTTTAAACTCAAATTTTGACACCTTATTGTCGGTATTTGTGAATTACTTTAGGTCAATGCTAACCCTATATAATAAGTCTTTGCAGGCGGTTTCAGCAGCCATGACAAATTCGAATCTGGACTAATGGGTGGGTGGCTATTGAATGCCAATATTTTATAGGCACCCTCTCAAACATAGGCAGCCTCAATATAATGAACACATTAACTGTTGTCACTTACCTAAACAAGAAACTCCTAAACCAGAAACACAGCTAAGAATGAAAAATATAAAAATATTATAAAACGGCAGATTAGCAATCAAGAAAGCATTCAAATGTCTGTATTTTTTAGTGTAGTTAAAGAGATCAAGAGTTCCTCAACAGGATATGTCCACTTTCTACACTGCTTGTATATGCCAAATTTGTTCTTACGTACACAGCACCTGCCTTTTTTAATGCCCTGCCAAATAAAGTACCTTGAAAAGCACTCAGTGTCTACTAATATGCCCGAGGACTGTCCTACCAGAAGGCCGTCAAACTGGTGAACATTGTCCCCACGATTGTAAATTTCATCACAGGGCTACGTAGTAAGTAAAATCCAACTAATGGTCTTTTATCAATGCTGAATCTGATTGGTTGAGCTACTACTAGGCTATATGTTATATTTTATAGCCCACTAGTAGTAAAAAGCACTGGCTTTGAAAACCAACACAATGGCTGTAAGTCTAGCTATAACTAGCTAAAGTATTTTTGTCTCGATATTTTTTACCAACTAGTTAGATTTTACCAAAACAATTATTCCTCTCGCCCACATGGCCTCTGAGTCAATAACCTATTATTTGGCCTTCGGCCTCATGGGCTATTGACTCCAAGCCCACTTTCAACACCATTATAAAGGACCCTGAACATAGTCTGAACAGTTTAATACCATTCAGTGGGCCATCACATTATGCTTTAAGGTGCAACAGGAAGTACTTCCTTATAAGAGGCTAATGCGGCTGTGCCCTTGGATAGGGTCACATTTTCACAACTGGGTTGACTATAATGGGGTCGCACATTTTTGGATTTTTGGGGTAAGAAAGTTCAGATTTACATTTTCAGTTAGCAAATGTACCAGAATGTTTATACTGCAGGTGACAAGTACTGTTCTTCATTCAATTTAAAAAATATGTCAGTTCATTTTAGGATGCTAGTTAAAAGGCTGTATAACGTAGATACACAAACACAAAGTCAATAAGATGGGATCCTTAAAAATGGATAAGGTGGGGTCTATTGGCCACAGAATAGACTTAGAGGCCAGCAGCACATACCCAGCAAAAATAATTAACCTAAGTAACCCC